CTTTGATCCAGACGACGGAGCGAAGTGGAGGTAATGGATCATTCGTTTTGTTTGACTCTCTTTCACTCCATTCAGGCAAATAGTTGATGATCATGTGGTACAGTACAATGAAAGAATAAGAAAAGTTAATATCTATGATTACACATTATCTGCTTGTAATGTATATCATTAATAGGTTGCTGATGACTACAAGCAAAAGAACTATACTGAGTTTGCTGTGATAGCCCAACCAGGATTAAGAGATGGCACTGCAGCCAATGTTCCATTTGATTTCTTTTCGACTGTAAGTCGGTGAATATTGTGAAATATTGATCAATTAGTTCAGTGTTGTTAACTGCCTTGTGTAAACTTTGTGCGTGTGTGTGTAGTTTTCTGAGTAGCATGTGATGTTTATTTAATACTGTGCTGATTATTATCTGTTTCACCATTTTGAGTACAACTTTTCTCTCACTGTGCAGTTTGATTGCTTTCATCCTTCAGTCAAAGGACACGAAGCCTTTGCCAAAGTTGTTTGGAATAACATGTTGACACCAGCTGCCAAGAAATCAACCACCTTTGATCATGAAGCACCTTACATTTGTCCCACCAGTGAAACTTTGCTGTATACTTATTAGAATTGCTGTGTACTCATTGAAATTGTATACTTTAGAAATTAAAAAATTGAAGTCAAAATCAGCTCATACTTTCTACACAGCATAAGGACATCTGTATGCATCAAAAAATGTAATAAAAATTTGGGGTGATTTGGAGCCATTTTACATAGCCTTGGGTATTTTTTAGAATTTTGATCCTTTTTTAAAATGGTCGTAACTTGAAAAATTTAAGTCGGAATCAGCTCAAACTTTCTACACAGCATAAGAACATACATCTGTATGCATCAAAAAATGTAATAAAAATTTGGGGTGATTTTGGAGCCAATTTTTGGAGAAATTTTCATTAATTTAGCTTCACTTATAAACTCATTACTACTGATTTCTGATCCTATTTCAAATTAATTTTATTATTTATTATGTGCTATAGCCTTGGATATTTTTCAGAATTTTGATACTTTTTTAAAATTGTCGTAACTTGAAATATTAAAGTCGGAATCACCTCAAACTTTCTACACAGCATAAGTACATCAATATGTATCAAAAACGTGTAAAAATTGGGTGTGATTTTTTGGAAAAAACCATGGGCTATAGTACAGGGATTTTTTCAGATTTTGGCCCATTTTTTAAAATGGTCGTAACTTGAAAAATTGAAGTCGGAATCAGCTCAAACTTTCTACACAGCATAAGTACATCAATATGTATCAGAAAATGTAATAAAAATTAGGTGGGATTTTTTGACCATGTTTTGGAAAAACCATACAGGGATTTTTCCAGATTTTTGCCCATTTTTTAAAATGGCCGTAACTTGAAAAATTGAAGTCGGAATCAGCTCAAACTTTCTACACATCATAAGTACATCAATTTGTATCAAAAACGTGATAAAAATTGGGTGTAATTTTTTGACCATTTTTTGGAAAAAAACCATGGGCTATAGTACAGAGATTTTTTCAGAATTTTGGCATTAATTTCTTAAAATGGCTGTAACTTGAAAAATTGAAGTCGGAATCAGCTTAAACTTTCCACACAGCATAAGTACATCAATATGTATCAAAAACATGATGAAAATTGGGTGTGATTTTTTGACCATTTTTTGGAAAAAACCATGGGCTATAGTACAGGGATTTTTTCAGATTTTGGCCCATTTTTTAAAATGGTCGTAACTTGAAAAATTGAAGTCGGAATCAGCTCAAACTTTCTACACAGCATAAGTACATCAATATGTATCAAAAAACGTGATAAAAATTGGGTGTAATTTTTTGACCATTTTTTGGAAAAAACCATGGGCTATAGTACAGGAATTTTTTCAGAATTTTGGTGTTTTCTTAAAATGGCTGTAACTTGAAATATTGAAGTCGGAATCAGCTCAAACTTTCTACACAGCATAAGTACATCAATATGTATCAAAAAACGTGATAAAAATTGGGTGTAATTTTTTGACCATTTTTTGGAAAAAACCATGGGCTATAGTACAGGGATTTTTTCAGATTTTTGCCCATTTTTAAAAATGGCTGTAACTTGAAAAATTGAAGTCGGAATCAGCTCAAACTTTCTACACAGCATAAGTACATCAATATGTATCAAAAAATGTGATAAAAATTGGGTGTGATTTTTTGACCATTTTTTGGAAAAAACCATGGGCTATATAGTACAGGGATTTTTTCAGATTTTGGCCCATTTTTTAAAATGGCCGTAACTTGAAAAATTCAAGTCGGAATCCGTTCAAACTTTCTACACAGAATAAGGACATCTGTATGCATCAAAAATGTAATAAAATTTGGGGTGATTTTGGAGCCATTTTTTTGGAAAAAACCATGGGCTATATTATTATAGTACAGGGATTTTTTCAGATTTTGGCCCATTTTTAAAAAATGACCGTAACTCGAAAAATTGAAGTCAAAATCAGCTCAAACTTTCTGCACAGCATAAGGACATTTGTATGCATCAAAAAATGTAATAAAAATTTGGGGTGATTTTGGAGCCATTTTTTGGGAAAAACCATGGCCTTGGGTATTTTTCAGAATTTTGATACTTTTTTTAAAATGGTCGTAACTTGAAAAATTAAAGTCGAAATCAGCTCAAACTTTGTACACAGAATAAGGACATCTGTATGCATCAAAAAATGTAATAAAAATTTGGGGTGATTTTGGAGCCATTTTTGGAAAAAAACCATGGGCTTTTTAAATTTTGCATGCTCTTAAAATGGTTGCAGCTTAAAAATTTGAAGTCAGAAAGTTTTTTATTGTTAAGTTGTTAATATTTTTAAATTAATTTGCAATTTTTAGTATTTGCTATGCGGAGCTTACATTCCTGCTTCATTGGATGAGATATACTAGCTTGTAAAAATTAATCACACCTTGTTAGCACCTTGTAAGTGTGAACAGTTTGTTTATGCAAGAGGAATAAATTTTCTTTTGAAAATGAAAATGAAAATTTGACAAGGTGATATTCTCCCACAGGACACTATTAATAAAAGCTGAGAAATGCTATATAAGGTAGTAGCATGTATATCCAAGTGAGACTATACTAGGGCCACTTTGACTTTTAAATCTGCATAATGCAATAACTTTCCTATTTTAAATGCTACAGACAGCGGTTTTTTTTTGCATTATGATCTTCTCCAAAACCCCGGTATTTTGATATATGATACAACTAGAGCGCAGTTATAGCAAAGGAGAAGTAAAATCAAAGCACATGGACACTTGAAGAGTACTTGACGCCATTACTACCGCCCACGTGTGGTTATTGCGTAGGCGGATAAAATAAAAAGGCCACTGCAGCTACTATCAAGAAGAAGTGGGAAACAGACTTTTAACAATGTACAAGACTCAAAGGAAATGCCAATACAATTATAGGTAAAGTATAAAACTATCTTAACTTCATACATATACAAAGACAAGGAAAAGGACTGCATACTTGCAGCAAATGCTAAGATAGGTAGCCATACCTTTTTTACATTCTCTAACCTTTATGCTATGCTTTTGAAGATAAGATTTGTATATATGTCTCCTAATTCAACTACTTACTACCTTTCTGCTTTAGAACTGAGTATTATAACAATAAGAAACATAGTTTCAGAATGTGACAAATAACAGTGAAAGATCACAACTTGAACAACAGATAGAATGAAGGATAAGTAGTTGATATACAGGAACTTGAACTATACAGACACAATTCGATGAACCTGAGTCTTTTTATTCTTGTCTGTGGGGAGTTCAGTGATAAATAGATGATGATCACACCATAAGTTACTTGCAGATGCTGCTTTACCTCTCCTAATAAATCTGTGACTGCCCAGCACAATGAGAGCATCTGACTACTTTTAAACTTTTAATTTGCAATAACTTTAGTTTTATTAATAATTATAATACCTGCTGTGATGTGCTGTATTTGAGATAATCATTTCATAGTTGGTATACACAATAATAATAAACACTTAACAAACAATTAGCAGCTACTTCACACGTGACCACCAAACCTGCACTTATAATAACAGTAAAAAGTCAGTGTGGCCCTACTATAGAGTGTGTGTGGTATGCTGGAGTATGTATGATGTCATTAGAAGAATTGTAAATTAAATTATAGTAGATGCTCAATTCAAGTAAGTGACACTATTCTCCTCTCTTTAGCTATGTCTCTTTCTTTCTTATACTTTACACTGTATCCTCTCCTTGTTATAACTCATCACTTACTACTGTTACCTCTTCTTATCTATTACGTATACCCTTCTATTGTATGGCTACCCTTTGTTTTTATAGTTTCTGACCTGTGTGGTTTCACTATTAAGCTAGCTTGAATAAGGGGAGTAGCTACATACATAAATCTGTTGAGCTGTAATTTGGGGTGGATTTCTAGTTTCTAAAATACAAGTGAGTTTTGTTCATAGTCTATGTTCTAATCTGCTCAATTCTAGATTAGTTTGTCAACATGATTCATCTCATCGTCCGTTTAGTTGTGGGACTTGTTGTTGGTCTGTCTCGCTGCATTTGCTTAGCATGCAGTGACTGATCAGTCTACTTTTGGAACATTTTGACTCTTGCTATTAACAGTAGATTTATTTTCTTAGTTTCATTTTAGTTTTGCTTTGTACTTAAAATAATGTAAAAGTTTTATTGCTATTTTCATAATAACTAGATACTAACTAACTAAGAACAAAAACTATTGCTCAGATCTCACTAGCTACTATAAACACAGTCTACTACAGATAATGTTCTTTTTCTTCTTCAATGCCAAAACTCTCAGTTGTAGCTGGTAAACTGAACTGTAAAAAAGAGGATTTCCAAGTCATAATCACAATCCATGCAGCTATAGATCTATTTACTTTTCTGACATTCATTCTCAATTTATCAACTTTCTCTTCAAGCTCTTTGACACGAGCTCTCATCCTTGCCACAGTATCACTGCTTGATTTATCAGTATTCAGACTTTGAAGCTGAATGTTTCCAACATCAGGTGTACTTTTCTTAAAGACGTACTCTCCCTTTGGGTCACGATACAATGCCA